AAGAGGACTACCAGAAATACTTCAGAAAGTGTCCACAATGATGGGATAAATGAGGGGAATTTTTTGCTAGGAGATTAATGACAATGTGGTTTTTACCGAACTATTTTTTTTATTTAAAGTACAGATTATTTATTTAAACTATATATTTTGATAATTCTCCAGAGATTTAGGGACCTCAGACAATGGGGATTACCTCATAAATACATTCTTTTGCCAACAGTACTGATGTGGAATCACTCAACATAAGGTAGCCCAGTTTACATTTATCAAAGTCAGTGAAGGTAAGGTCCCTCTTGTACCAATTCTTGACCTGACTCCTGATATTTAACAACTGAAGGTAAAGGTAGTGCCGGCACTGATTATGGTGATGAGAATCCTAAGTATATATAAAAAATTTTGGGGGGGGGGTACCAGGGATCTAACTCAGGACCTTGCATTTGCAAGGCAGATGGCAGCACCACTAAGCTAAATCCCTGGCCCCTAAGTATATACATTTTTAAAGGAACAAAATAGGAGTTATTTGTAGTTTTATATGGAGGAATTTTGACCTTTTAAAGATGTTGCCATTAAGAGGCCTTATAAAGAAAAAGTGTCAAATAAGGTTTGAAAACACCTTATTCTTCAAAAGAAGTTGCAAATAATTCTAATGTACCTTACTCCCGGATTCCCCAAATGTTAACATTTTAGCACATTGACAGCTTCATTTCTGTGCGTGCAGATAATTTTTTTCTGAGGTATATAATGGAAAGATCCAGATGCATTACCACATTCTTCCTATATACTTCATTATGTATTTAAAGAAGAATCATTTTTTTACTTAATGGTAAAATTATCAAAATGAAGAACTTAATGTCAACACAGCAGTGCCATCTAATCCACAGAACTTATTGGACTTAGCTACTTTTCCTACTACCACTCTTTGCACAAATTTGCTTTTTTTTTTCTAGTATAGGATCCAAACCTAGTTTACATTCTACATCATATTACAGTTTTTAAGTTTCTTTAATCTGGAACATTTATGGAGTCTTGCTTTCCTTGCTATTCATGACCTTGGCATTTCAGAAGAACACAGGCCATTTAATTTTTAGAAACTCTCGCTTTGGTTTGGTTTGATATTCAGTCATTTTAATCAATTCTCATTTTTAGGGATATTCAAACCACTGTATCATTCCAGTCAACATTGCTTCTTTTGAGGGTCTTCACTATACAGAGAATGTTACAGATTCTTGGGAGAATTTTTGCTCCTTTCTGTGATATGTTCATTTCTCTCTAGCCCTTCATTTAAATTCGGCTCCTGTGCCCGAATCTAAACTTGAGCTGAGTTCTTCTCTGTGCTACCAGAGCTTTGACTGATGGATTCATCATCAATCCCTTCATAGTTGTGGTGAGAATAAATCTAAATCAACTACTAAATGTAGCTTTGAGATTTCTAACCATTTTAAATACCTAGAAAAATTTATCAATTTCTTGTCCATACCAATACATTGGGACAATCCCCTGATGCTTTAGTCTCCTCTTACAATCACAGGCTGGGCCGCTCTAATGTTCTTTCTGGTTCCTTACTGGTCTCATTAAAAAATCAGTACCTAGGGTTCAGGCCCTTTGTCAACCACTCCTTGAAGTTTCAAGTTTTCAGTATTCCTGTTTCTCGGCATTTTGTAAAAATAAGTGACCAGTCTTCCTTAGACATTTCCATAAGACTATGATAACCTAAGAATGAGCAAGAGAGGATTTTCTGTCCCAGAATGAACAGGTAGAAGTAGCCTCTGCAATCCTATTAGAGGGCCTGACTCAAAGGACCTGGGATAGGGCAGGGGATTTAGCTCAGTGATTCTGGCCCCTGCCTTGAAACCACAAGGTCCCGAGTTCAATCCCCAGTGCCAAAAATTAAAAATTTAAAAAAAAAAAAGACCTGGGATAAAATTCAAATTTCCTGGTCTTGAACTGAAGGCTTTCTATAATGTGGAGACTATCTCACTATCTACTGACTGTTTAAAAATGTTAGTCTTTCTGATTTCTCATTTCTCTCCTCTTAACCGTTTTTTCTTATTCTTTCTGTATACAGCACATCTACCCTGTGTATCAGAACATGCACCTTCCCATGGGTCCTGAACATCATATATATATCACTTTGTTTCCCAGAACACACTGCTGCTACCTTATCACTCCTGCTTTTCTGCCTTCACAATTATAGTGTTTCTCTGGCCCCGTGAAGTGTCCTATCTGAAGTGTTTATTCAGACTCAAGTTTGAGCACCAACGAGGCAGTCTCCTCCATGCGTACTTTAAGAGTTCTTGAGTACTTGAATCTTTTACATAGCTGACACACCATTTCCTCCAGATTTTTGTACAGTCAAATTTGTGTCAAATTTATGTAGGACTACATTTCTTTGTGTTTTAGGGTTTCGGTTTTGTGAACTCCTTGAGGACAATGCCCATGTCTTTATCGTCCGGACAAGACAGCATGGTACATTAAAAACAAACAAAGCCCTGACCTCCCCTCTCAGCCTAGGATTGTTGTAGGCATGGAAACGAATGAGATAAAATGTCTGCTCTCTGTAAATGTAATTCATATGTGTGAAAGTAAATGCATACATGCATAAAGCTTTCTACTGTTTCAGTGGACACAATGTTGAGTGAGAATAAATCATCATTTCTGGGGCTCACTTCGTCCTTAGTATCTTAACTGTCAGGGTCAGAGTCAAGGTGACTGTTGTTCTTACCACCATAACTCAAGGACCCATTTTAATGATTCCTGGACACCTTTCTTTTCCTCATGAAATATGTCTCTCTCAACCTCTCTCTTGCCCATTTCCTAAAACTGATCTCCATAAACCTTGCAATATTTCTTTGTTCCTAGTTAGCTCTGTTAACTGAAGAGCACGTTTTCCACAGGCGATGCCTTGCCTCACCCAGGTCACTCTGCAGCTGTTGCTTCTTCTTAGCTGAGAGCAAGCAAGACATAATGAAAGCATCAAAACCTACTCCCATGGTCCTGTTCAATACAAGGAAAGGTAAAAAAAAGAAATCACATGAAGTTATGCTTAGAAAGGTTAGCAAATACCTTAAAAGTGCTAAGAAATAAAAATTATTTAACTAAGCATAGAAATTCCTTTACTGATATATGTTGTCATCAAACATGTACTAAGAAAAATGCATTTTAAATTTGACATCAATGGATGGGATTCCTTCAAGCTACACCAAGTGAGAGTTAGATATTAAGTTCTGGGATGCACATAAGACCTTACTAATCGATAACCCCCACACAAGAATATGCACTTCAGAGCAGTGGACGTTAGCTCAGGGTGTGGCCTGCTATTTCCACACCCTCATCAAATGTTCACCTGGCAGACTATTACATGGCAGTGCAATGTGTGAGTAGTACGTGTAGTATGTGCTTACTATCTAACCTCAAAATATGCCTCCATGGTTACTTAATTAATGCTTTGGGCAAGAGCTGCATTAGCAAATTAAATTACATAAGGAAAACATGCAGATTATTTAATAGAATCCTCTTTTATAGGCGTGAGTTTAAATATTACTCCAAAAGATAAGGGAATCATGAGTCCACTGGTCTGCAGACACAGGCTTCCCTCTTTATGGGTGTTGTCTCCTCAGGGACAGAAGGTGCAGGCAGAACCCTGCGGCCCTATCACAAGAAAATCCGTGATGCCTTCCAGCATCCTCCCAAGGAAACAACACACAGATACCAGGATAATTATGTTATGGTTTTCCGTAAAGTGGTGCAAGTGTTCAGACTGTTCTTTAATCTTGGGGCATTTAAAATATGTTTCACCAAGTTTCATCCTCCTTTTGGAATTAAAAAAAATCTGTTTCACCAGTGATTTTTTTCTCCTCATATAATATTAAAATATGGTCCAAAAAGTATTCACTAAGCAGAAAGGCTATAAGCCATTCAATTAATTTCTTCTTAAATACTCTCATTTTTTTCTAGTGAATCAATAAATTAAAACTAAATATTCCGTGTCTCTCCTTTGGTTTATGAGGCTCAGAGTCTCGGTTCTCACAAGCACAAGCAGGCAAGTCTTTACCAGCGTTAACACAGCAAATGAAAACAGCAGAGGCAGAGGCGGACGCAGGAGGATGGAAGTGGCTTGCAGAAGAAATTCTGCTTCCTGTGTAAAGATAAAAGGTGTTTCTTGGCTTTCAAGTGTTGGGAAAGCATTCCTAAGTCTGCATAAAGCTGTTTTATAACATACAAGAATCCCCGTGTAACTGACACGCTTCACATTTCAAAACTAATATTTTTGTTATATTGCCTTGAGCAATTGTCTCAAATAACTTTGTGACATGTTCATAATTCTGTAGACTATGTCCACGGTGCCTACCACTCTTGATATTAGCTACATTGGGAGCTGCAGTGCACTGAGAATTCAGCTACATGGTAAGCTAATTTTTAACTTAAAATATATATATATATATATTATAGACAGAGTGTGACAAAAGTGTATCCACACTTCAGCAGTTCACCGTACTAGTAAGTGTCTAGAAGCTCATGGCCACCACTTTGAGACCTCTTGTAACTGCAGAGGCCAAAGGTAACTTGTCTTAATCTCATCATGTCTCCCTAAATTGAGTATTAAAATGTGTATACAAGTTTTTCTGTTCCTGATGGATGCATTTTTGGAAGACTGTCTATGAATAGCAAGAGACCTTTTGTGTGCATAAACTGATCTTTGAAAGACTCTTGCTATTACTTCTGAACTTAATATTAGTGTTTACTATAGATTTCTGTTATTTGAAATGTACTTACAAATTTTATAATTTAGTGTTCCTAATATGTGAGCTGAACTGTCATGCCAATTAAAAATCTTTACAAAGCAAAATATTCACTGATTTGAGAAATTAATATGAATGAGAGCATGTGCTTCATTAGCTTTTCTGAATCTTATCAATATACTTAGAGCAAGTCATTATGCTGTCACTAACGTTATGTGGAGCGGAAGTGACTTGGCTCTTACTTATTAGGAGGCAGGACGTGAGGACCCCGAGCTGTGACAGGGACCCTGTATTCACGCACAGTCATCAGTCCGATCTCTGCCTCCCCTTACCTCGGGGCCACCTGCCGTGCGCCACAGAGCTGCTCGGGCTGAGAACCTCAGTCTCCCCAGCTGTCCCAGCAGCAGACAGTTCCCTCGGAGCACGCGGCTGTGCAGGTATGGGGCACATGGGTGTCCTGCGGGGGGGCACGCAGTTTGAGCTGAGCGGAACTCAAGCTGAGAGGCCGGCGGGGCCAGAGGCTGAGCTGAAGGAACTCTAGCCTCTCCTGGAAAGAAGCCTCACTTTCAGTTCTCTGTGGATCTGCAGACAGGCTGTAACTGTGTCTGTCCTTCTGACCGTTCCGCGGTTTAGGCCAGGGTTTCTGGAGGAAACCTGCCAAGAACAGCTGCTAAAAGAAACAGCATTTTAGGAGAGAGTTTATGGGACCTGGGGATCTGCCGCCTCGGATGGGGGCTCAGAGAGATCAGGGCAGAGTTGGGGTCTGCACACAGCACTGGAGCTAGGAACAAAGCAGCATGAGGGGTCTCCCTGGGTCTGCAGCCCAGAGACCTCCAGGGCCTTCTCCTCCTCAGGAGGGAGCCATCACCATTTAAGACACAGGCTGGAAAGACAGCACAGAGCAGGTGGGGAGGCGGCGGGGTTATCAAAGCAGGCCGCGGCCGTCACACTGGGTCATTGTTTACACGAGTTTCAGCCTCCCGTGTACCCTGGCTGCCGCGCTTCTGCATTGTCCCTCCCCGGCTGCCACGGAGGGATGATAAATATTGCCATGCCTTTGGTAGAGAGAAGGTCTGCACGTCTGCGGCATCCTGAGCAGGCTGGCTCCCAGCCCGAGTGCCGGCGTGCAGGCAGTGTGCAGAATGCACAAGCCAGGGGCCAGCGTTCTGGGCCGCGGGGACACAGGGCAGGGCTGCCCCTCAGCGGAGGCCTTGGAGCCAGGACCGGCCACTGCCCAGAAAGCCACAGCCTCAACCTGCCGGGTGGCTGCGACCCAGCTATGTCCCTCTCTCTCCTAACCAGCACAGGTAAAAGAGACAAGGGTGAGCCGGAAAACAATCCCTTTGATGTAAGTGATAATTACAACTCTCTAATTATTCCAGTTGGCAGCAAACAAAGTCTTCAGATCCATCATTTACCGGCATGCTTGATTATCTTGTGAATCACCACCCCAGCCGGATGGAAAGGCTCGCAACCAGATAGTACAAATTACTCCATCCAAGTCATAGAGCAAAATTTATTTTGCGATGGGAGAAAGTGTTTGGCTGTGAAACAGTCATGTGGGGAAGCTCTCTGGAATCGCACATTCACTGTGGCTAAGTCACCAACTTCTCTATTTAGCTGGCCTTGTTCTCAATCATTAAATGAGGGCAAACAGTTGTGAGTATATTTGAAGAGGCCTTTTTAAATTAGAAAACTAAACTTTCTAGAAAAGTTTAGAAGAAACTCAGTTTTATTACTTGCAAGCTTGTAGGATTATATGCAAATTCATAGCTAGCAAAATACATGATCAAATACAATCTTTCAGTGATTGGATAAAAATGATATGCGTTCCAAATATTGTTTAAGTCAAATCACGTGCCATAAGGTTATTTAAAATAATTTGCTTTAAAATATTTTAAAATGACTTCTTGACTAAAATTTTAATACATGTTCTCAAATTCTCACCCAATACATTTTATTTAACTTTATGCTAGTGTGTACTTTATCTTCAAAAATGGGATACATTCTTTTTGTGTGGTATCGTTTTGGATGTTCATGTAAAAGAATATTGTTTTAGCTGAAAAGAATGGAACCAGATTTTTACCCATACAGATTCTGTTGGAAACACATGAGTTAATAAATGAGGGAAGACAGAAAGAGAAATGAAGGAGGTAAAGATTGTTTTAGGCACAGATACGAACTAGCAATAGGGTTTTATTTTTGTTGAGTTATTTTGCTTATCTTCAAACATTTGCCAACATTTTTCTTTTGCATATGTGTTGGAAACCCTTGGGAAGCCATGTTTGGATTAGAAATTTTGCTCCCATTTTTCTCTAATGTTACAGCCCAGGAGTACAGATGCACACTGAGTTCACATCTGTTTTGTCATTCATCAGTTCCTTCAGATTAGCTTGGCTTATCTGAAACAACTTGGTAGAAGAATAAAGAAAAGTAGGGAAGGAAGAGCAGGAGGAGAAGAGAAAAATAATCTATTAACAGATGGAAAACAAGCAAGTACATTCAATGCTGCACAGATTTTATAGTGTAACTTTCTGGCTTCTGAAATACTGCATGGGTTATGAAGGTTATGACTTTGTGGACAACAGTTTACCTCTCCAAAAATAACAGAATAGCTTAATTACATTTGTAAATATTGCAAAAGTAATATCTGTTCTTTAGTATGTTTATGGCTACTAGCTAGCTTCTGAACAAAAACATTGCTTCATTAGTTTCTGTTCCTGTGTTTTAGGAGCATTCATTCATTTGTTCCCCAGTCTGTGGCTTACTATGCCTCAGAGTCCTTCCAGCCCACGTCCAACCATATACACTGGTTTCTAGGTAACCCTCTTATGGGGTAGGGATAATTTCACAGAGCCCCATGGAGGCTGGGAAAGGCTAGAAACTGCAGAAGGGTGTGGGGGTCAGCTGGATGAAAGAGGTGGATCCTTCTGCTTACTGCTTCTGCTGCTGCCTCCTCCTAACCCTGCCCTCTGCAGGGGAGAATAGAGCAGCCCCTGATCACATCTGCCTGCTTCCAGTCTAAGTGGGAACACTTTATTTCTCTTCAGACCTGTGACCATTCAGTATACTTGTGTTTAGCAAAGTACCTGAATTGGGTATTCGGGTTTGCTTTACCTAATATTTTATTTGATACTTTTTGATTACTTTTAGTTGTACATTGCTGTTTATTCTCTTTATTGATCCTTTAAAAGCAGCTAATCTTTGCTCTTTTAAAAAGCAAAGAAACTACCATTGAAATTGGGCTGCATTTACAGGGACCTCTTGTATCAAAACACAAGCGTGGAAGTCTTTCCTTCCAGTGGGAAAGCCAGAGAGCGCCCTAGGGTTCCTGTATGGGAAGGAGCCTGAGTTTCTGTCCTTGTCCAAAGCTGTTCCCTTGATCATGGGAGGACCACCTGGTAATGCAGGCAGCTTCACAGCCAGCAGGCTTGAGAGTCGGTCATTGCAAGGGGACACTCAGGTGTGGACTGCAGGCCATTCTAAAAGATCCGAAGATGATCATTACAGTTGCCTTAAACCCTCTCTTTCCTTAAACTGAAGGGCATTACCCAGGGCCAAGTCAGTAGGGCTGGGGCCACTTTGAACAAACTCAAGATATCTGGGGCTTGACCCTAAGTATGGATCTCACTTCAAGCATCACCATAGACTTCATCTTCATCTGCATCACTGTCCTCACCCACTAAATTGTTAGCCATATCTTTCTGCTGGGCTCATTTCCACTAGATTTGAATTCCCTTTTCTCCCCATAAAAGGCTTAATACAGACCCTAACATAAAGGACTACATGCAGGCTTAGTAGAGACCCTAACATGTCCTAAATACTCAATAAAGCTATTTTTATTACTGATAGCAACATTAACATTTTTATCTATAGATCTTGAAATCCATCAGAGCTACAAACATTTCATGTCCAGCGCACCCCAGCTCTAACTTAGTCTAAATCTTCTCTGTAGATTATTACCCAACCTCCAAACAACAGAAATAGACACTGGCCACTTACAGAAGAAAATAAATGTTCTAAAACTGTCCAAAGACCTAGAGAACTAGACTGAGGGAAGGTGACGCACGAGGGCCACAATTAGGGCTGAAGTCACACGGTGGAGCCAGGCCTCGAGGTGAGTGCTCTCACCATTGGACACCGGGCGCTCTATTCTGCTGTGGATACTACACCGGTGGGGTGCTGCCACTGCCTCTGCCCTGGAGAATGGATGCTAGCCCCTCTGCCTTTGGCGCTGCTGTTTCCCAGAAGCATGGCCTTGTTGAGATGAAAGGAAACACATTTGGTAGAATGAACAACTGGGCACAGAAAACATAAACATTGATCTCAAGGTACAGACTCTGTGGGTCTTAAATTCCATTTCCAATGACTTCTGAGACCCACACTGCCTAGCAAAATATAAGCAAGCAAACAGCAAAACAGCAGGACGTACATGTGAAGGACAAAGAGGCTCCACAGGAACTCTGTTTTTGCTCTGAAAAGAATTCAAATTTTATCAAAATGCCTATCATCAGTATCATGTCTGTGCACTATAGCTGTGTTTGCTCTTTTGTGGGGCGTGTCCCTCACTGGGGGGCTGTGCACACAGAGAAGATGCTACCGCAGAGAGCCAAGGAAGAAACATACAGGTCCCCAAACCACAAGGGGACGTCTGCAAACTCAGTCAGACCACTGGCCTGGTAGCTCAGAGCGGCCCTCTAGAGAATCTTCCAAATAAATAGCTACTCAGAAGTCCATGAAGGTGGGTTCAGGAGAAAGATATTAATCACTCCCAAACATTGCAGAAAATTGTCAATAAATATATGAGTAAAGCTTGGGTCTCTTCTCTTCCAGTACAGCATTCCAATATGCTAAAATTTATCTCCAAATAAAGTATTTCACGTTTCTGGAAAGTTCTAATAACATCACAACACATGCACTACTAAGAGCAAGTATGGCTGCCTTTGCTTCTGTTCAGGTGAGAGCGGAAGTGAATCATTCCCTAGCCTGGCCCTTGGATGATGAGATGGCTTGGTCAGGAATGTAGCTGGGGAAGATGTAGGTGGTGGGAGACACCTAGGGTTGGTTAATCTGAGGTGTCAAGTTTGCTGAGCTAGTGCTCCAAGAGCTGATAAACATTATTTCTTGGGCTGCCTGGAGGGTGCTTTCAGGAGAAAGGAATGTTCCAATTGGTAAACGGCCCAGTAGAGATAATTTTTATCAGGCTGACCTCGTGCAACCCACTGAGGGACTGATTGGAACAGAAAGGCAGAGGAGGGCCAACCTGCTGGCTTCCGGAGCTGGGGCAGCACTGGCTCCCAACTTGGATGTTGATGCTCCTGGTCCTTAGGCTTTCAGGTTTGCACCAGGTCTATACCACTGGTTTGGGGCCGATGGACTTGCACTGAAACCACATGCGGCTGTCCTGGGTCCCCAACCTGCAGAGGGCAGCTCACAGGATTTCTCCTCTTCATAATCACAAGAGCCAGTCCCTCAAAATGAATGTCTCTCTGTGTACTTCTGCCTCTTCTTGGTTCTGTCTGCCTGCAGAGCCCTGACTCTACATCTGGTGTGGAGAAGATGGCCCCTCACAAGGAGAGAGTGGGGCCAAATGCAGAGTGGAGAGTGCGCCAAAAACAGCCAGTGCCACTGAAGAGGAGAAGCTCGGAAGGCTTTAGTGAGCAGCTCCTCAATCCCTAGTCACAGACAGAATGGTCCAGATAAAGAGCGATTATTCAATTACCTAAAAAACTTGCCTCAGCAAAACAAAGCTACCAACAGAATGACAAAGAATGTAATAAAATGAACAAATTATAGAAAAGGGAAAATACACTCAAAAGTAATGAGAGGGAGTCCAGGAAAAAGCAACAAGCCAATAGTATGGCACATGTTTCTATGGGAGCTTCCCAGACCCACAGTCAAGGGAGTAGTCTGGGTTGCGTTGGCAGCAGCAGTGCCCAGTGTCCTCCTGCAACACTGGGCTACCCCAGGAGGGAACAATGCAGGTCAGGACAGAGATCTCCCCACTGGGCACTTGGTGGGCTGTAAAGACTGTGCAACCAGCCATAAGCTCAGCACTAAATCTATGTAAAAATAACAGCAACACAATCTAGGCAGTGCTATTTGTGTCATTATCTAGCGAAAACTAACATAAACTATTAAGTTAAAAACAAAGACTGACATAGAGCTTTTATGCCAGAGAAAGGGATAATGGTGAGAGGAAAGGAGCACACACAGAGCTGGGGTCAACAGTGATGAATGTGTTTTCTACAGAAGCGGAGAGCTGGAGAAACAAGGCCTAGATCACCCCAGGGTTCCCCTGTGAATACAAATTACAGGGAATCATTCAGCAGGAGAGGACCCAAGGGGAATGAACAAATAATTTGGGAATAGGTATAAGTAGCGAATAGAGAACAACAGTCTGTCTTCAAAATCTTAAAAAGCCAGGAGAATTTTCAAGGAGATGTGGTAAACATCTGCAGGTGCCTCAGGATGGGCCCTTGGAACTGGCAAAGGGAGCTGCTGGAGAGGACAAGGCTCCAGAGGCCCAGGGAGGAGCAGCTCCTGAGCAGGATGACAGCTGGGCCGGGGCAGAGTGGGGCCTCTGGAGAGAGGAGAGAGGAACTGAAGAGAACATGAGGCCTGAGGACTTGACTGATGGTTTTCTTTTAAAAATACTGCAAAGGGCCGGGAATTTAGCTCAGTGGTTCCAGTGCCTGCCTCGCAAGTGCCAGGTCCCAAGTTCTATCCCTGGTACCAAACAAATAAAAAAATTGCAAAAGTTCAATCCCCAGTACCAAAAAAAAAAATTGCAAAAAAAAAGCAAAATAAGTAGTGGAATGATGTTTTGCATTAGTTAGAAAGCCTTCTACACTCTAAGAATCAGTACATTTTATAGGTCTTTCAGTACTCTTATTTTTCACATTTAGTTTTTCAAAGGGTCTGAAATATATTTTAAAATGGTTTGAAGTAGAGCTGGATACATGTTTTATAAATGGAAAGCAATTTGCCAAACCCATAGTAGTGACAGAGGAAACATCCCAAGGCCAGCAGTGCAGGCCTGAATTCGAGACAGCTCTTCTATCTACGGAAACTGTGGCTTTCCTCCTCATGCCTACCCATGGTAAAGAATTTCACCATGCTGTTTTGTTCACAACAGCATGTAAATTAAAATTTATAAGTTGTCTGCTTTGGAGATTTTCCATTTAATATTTTCAGGCCTCAGCTGACTATGGATAACTGAAACCCTGGAAAATGAAACCAAGATTGCTGTATTTGGGTGTTCATGTGTCCTTTCTGTTGTGTCTTTGTTGTGCAGTAAATGCACGTGCACACAGAGACACACATGGGCCACACCAGCAGGTGAGTGTGTTCTCCATTCCCCGGTGACCTACTGGCTCTGCCAGAGTCATTCATTTTTAAATTGTCACGTCTTCATTTGCTCAGGTCTGAATCAGCTCTCTTAAAAAAAAAGTTGGAGAGCTTTTGCTCCTACTGGTTGTAGCAGAGGGACAGGTGAAGGAAAGACCACTACAAATACCAATCACTTGTTTTTAGCATAGCTTCTTCCGGCCTTGTTTTCGTATCACTGATCACCACCAACATCACATTTTTGTCAACCAGTATGATAACTTTTGGGAATATTTTAGGTCAGTTCATTACCTAGTGACGTTATACAAATGTTCCTAATGTTGAATGCCTTTGTTAGTTTTTTCGGGCTTTTCCTGGATAATCTACCTGTAACACACAACTGAGTTCTAATGTCCTAAGAACGAGGGGCTTCTTGGGCCCTGCACCAGCGCCCTGGCAATGCCAATGATGTGATGCTGATACCACTCTTTCATCTAGCACACCATCCTCCGGTTATGACAAATGTTTCAATAATGTGCTTTATAGCATTGCCCCCATTCCAATCAAGACTTCAGCCCAAGACTACATATTCTACTTAGTCACTGTGTCTCTTTAGTCTTCATTCATCCTCAACAGATCCTTAACTTCTGTGGTCTTTCACAACATCAAGATTTTGAAGAAAGTTATTTAGAGACACTTCCTCCTTTTGGCTTTGCCTGCTGTTTCTTTGTGATTAGATTCAGGATTTGTATCCCCACCAGATTAATACACTACTGTTATTCCTCAGGGTTTCATATATAAAGGACCCAAGGTCTCTACTCCCCTTGGCGCAATAATTCTGAATACTGGGTCAAAATCATGTCCCAGATTTCCAATGCCGTTACTACTTTTCCCTTTATTAGGAAATCTGTAGGAAGACATTTTGAGAACTTGTAAATAGCCTGTTCCTTGTCAACCTCTTCAGCTTGTGAATTCCTATCTGTTATTTGTCAAGATTAGTATCTTTTCTGTGTGAAACTTTCACAGCCCCAGAGCCTGGATAATTCCTTGCTTTCCCTGCTACCGGGAGAGGTGGTGTGGATCCCTTTACAGGGCAATTTTTAAGTTTGTGCATATATAAATCTTTCCCCCTATGGACTCCAAAGAACCATCACTAACACTGAATATTTTCAGTCTTGCAAATTAGCACATTTCTAATTTTTCTTCTTTAGTAATATATGCTTGTGATATAGAATAATTGCATTCATCTTTGGGAATTGGTACACGTGTGTAACCCATCTTAATCATTTTTACCTCCTCTTCCCCTCTGAAGTTTTCCATTTTAGATTTACAAGACAATGTGCAAAATGAAGTCCATTTTGTAATCCCTCAAATTTATGACTATTGGTGAAATCATATTCCTAATAGCTAAGAAAGTCTACTTAGCAGACTATGGGAAAACTGAAACAGAGATCCTGCCGTTCTGACTTCCCTTGACCCTGTGAGGATGAAAATGTTCCTTCTGCCTGTGGGCCACACTTCCTCGTGCATCGTCCCAGGACCAGAACCCATGGAGTCAGATGTGCCAGCCTGCAGCCGTCCTGTACCTCATCCTGCAACGCGCTGCTTTCTGAGAAAATGACAGTGGCAGACACATTCACAGCCCGTGCCTTCCCTCCCACCTATCCCCCTAGCTCCAGGCTGCGTGACTGCTACAGGTGGGCACCAGACCCTCTGGGTCCCTGCACTAGCTCGAGCCCTCTCCAAGCTCTTCTCTGCTCTGTCTTCATCCTGCCACAGCTGCAGCTCCAGGGTTCTGGATGATACCTGATAAAAATGTCAGTGTCCATTTTATTTTGCTCCAAAAAAGTCAATTGGTGAGTACTGTGGAGGTGTGTGGATCATACCAGATCCTGTGTGTCTCCAAGTGTCAGCCCACAAATGTGAACTGCAGAATCTTAAAAATACCCAGCGATGCCCTGGTTTCCAAGACCAACTCAGCTGTCCACCATGCATGAGGCTGCAGAGGGCTGTAGGCATGGGTCACCTCTGCTCCTTGTCTCCAGGAAGTTCTGTGCAGCAGTCTGGAGACTGAGTGGGTTCTGCCTTCTCCCCAGCCAGTGAGTCTTCCCAGATTCCCTCCCTGGTTTTCTTCAAACTGCCAAAGCCCACTTTTGAGCTACTGGTGCTGCCTCCTTAACACCAAATGAGTCAGCTTTTTGAACTCAGTGTCAAAAAAGTGTCCTAAGACCAACAAGTAGAGTGAGTAGCAATATGCTCAATGAGTTTTAATAATTGCACATGTAAATAAGATCAAAAAATATTTTTTTAACCCAAGTTTAAGGTGCATTGCTTGATATTCCAAGAGCGAAAAAAAAAAAAAATGAGCAAGACACAGCTCTTAGAGCGTTTTGGACACTGCCGTGGCTGATGGAGGTCACAAGCCAGATCAAAGATCACCTCTCACAGATGTGCACACTCACATGGGCCAGGCAGCACGGCTCGGTG